TGTGTCTTATATGTGAAGATTATACTTGCTATCACCAACTTGAGTTTGGAAAAAAGATCGTTTACCTTGGGCATCGAAAATTTCTAAAACCCGATCATCCTTATCATAGATTGTATAAGGCTTTTAATGGAGAGAAAAAGTTTGGTGAGGCTCTTGAACCTTTAACCGAGGATGAACGTTATCAACGGCTGGAACACATTAATGTTGTCTTTGGAAAGAGAGAAAAAGAAAAAGGGGAAGTTGCGAAAAATATATGGAAAAAGAGGTCCGTCTTCTTTGATCTTCCATATTGGTCAAGTTTTGATGTTAGACATTATCTTGATGTAATGCACGTGGAGAAAATGTGTGTGGTAGTTTGATTGTCGTACTTCTAAACATTCCAGGAAGACTAAAGATAGTAAGACTTTCTGTCTTTATATGGAGAAGATGGGTATACGAAAACAGTTGGCTCCAATAGAGAAAGGAAAAAGAACTTATCTGCCTCCAGCATGTCACACTCTATCAAAAAAGGAAAAGAAAATTTTCTACGAGTGTTTGCAAGGTATTAAAGTTCCGCAAGGTTACTGATCAAACATCAAGAAACTTGTATCAATAAAAGATCTCAAGTTAATTGGTTTAAAATCTCATGATTGTCATGTATTGACAATAACTTTTACCAGTGGCTATCCATGGGATCCTACCAAAAAAGTGAGAGTAACTATAACGAGATTATGCTTATTCTTCAATACCATATGTAATAAATTTCTTGATTTCAAAAAATTAGATGAATTAGAAGACGAGGTTGCAATTATCTTGTGTCAATTGGAGATGTATCTTCCTCCATCATTTTTTGACATTATGGTTTGCTTACTTGTTAATCTAGTCAGAGAAATCAGAATTTGTGGTCCAGTTTATTTAAGGTGGATGTATCCAATAAAGCGATATATGAAGATCTTTTTAAAGGATATACGAAGAATCATCACCGGCCGAAAGTTTCAATTGTTGAAAGGTACATTACAGAAGAAGTTGTTGAGTTTTGTACAAACTATTTGTCGAGTGCAAATTCTATAGGAATTCCGAAGTCTCGTCATGCTGACACAGACGAAAGAGGTATTCAAGGTTTGAATGTTAAATCAATGGCTCGGGATGTAGTTATTCAAGCACATTTCTATATATTGAATAATATAAATGAAGTTCAACCTTTCATAGATACTCACAAAAGACTTTTGAGGAAAAAATATCTCCGAATGAGTGACAAGTTATTGATGATAGAGCATAACAAGAGATTCATATATTGGTTAATAAAAATGTATTTAATGGTCGTAATGAACCCGAGATACTTAAATGGTTGTCATACGAGCCAAAATTTTGTGTCATTACTTGGACTGCATACGATATTGGTCATTATACCTTTTATACAAAATAAAAAATAATCGTTGTAAAATGCAAAATAGTGGGGTTATGGTTGAAGTCAAATCGATGTATTTCTCTAGATCGAAAGATAAGAATCCTGTATTGGAAACTACCACATTTTATGGTGTCATTGATGAGATTTGGGAGATTGATTATGTTATTTTCAAAGTGGCTTTATTTAAATGCAAGTGGGTTCCTAATAATAGTAATGGTGTACACATTGATGACTTAGGATTCATCTGGGTCGACCTTGACAAGGCATCTTTTATGACCGAACCATTCATCATGACTTCTCAAACAAAACAAGTTTTCTATGTTACCGACCCATCAGACGTATCGGGAAAATGGTCAATCATTCTCCAAAGAAAACACATTCCTCTTAGTGATGAAAGTCTTGATATTACGTCCACACCTTCTCGCACAACACAAGTTCCTACCTCATATGATGAAGTTGATGGAGATGTCGTGCATGCTATTCGAATCAATCATGAAGAAGACATATGGGAAAATTAACAAGTACGTAATTTATTCTTTATTCATAATATATTAATTGTATGATAGTTTCTAAGTATTTTTATTAACAAGTATAATTATTTGAAATCATAGGTCTTTAGAATCAAGACACCATGAGACAAGACACCAAGAGACGAGAAACCAAAACACCAAGTTACAATTATGTGATGTTATGTAATGTGTAAACTGTAGGTTGTTTGTTATGATAAATTGTAGGATGTTTGTTCTGATACAATTGAATATGATACAATTATGTGATATTATGAATATAATACAATTAATATTATTATGATAACTTTATCACAAATGTGAGTTGTATTTTTTGCTGTAATATGGTGAACAATAATACAGGTTAAAAATGGGATTAATTATAAAAGTAGTATAATATTTGTTAATTCTGCAGAAAATGTAACAACAGTTATATATCATAACTGTTATAATATCTTACGCGCTGTTCAGAAAAAATGAATATCAAAACGACACAATTGGGAATCAAACCTAGAACTATTATTTTTATCACAATGGTCTTTTGAAAAACCCGTTGTGATAGGGCGCACGTTTTCTAGTTTATTACAACGGTTATTGGGTCATGATTGTAAGTATCATATATATAACCACACTCTACATAACAATGCCTGGACCCACGTGATTATATATCTTTTCCAACAGTTGTTAAATGGGTTTTCCGTAGTAGTGACATCTAATAGGTACATAATACATATATATCTAGATACAACTTCTATATAATTTTCTTAACATTTTCTCTTATTTCATTTGATATTCCTAACTTACTTATTTTTTTCTTGTAGGTTCATTTAATTTTCTTATGTATCATGAAGTAGTTGCCTTTTGGAATTTCTTTTGCAAATTTATCATTACTTCTTGTCATTTTTTTTGTAAACTTATTAAGGTATACACAATCTTTGTTAAGTATTAACAAGTGTGAGTAGGGTGGATAATAGTCCCACATTGGATAGAAATGTGGTGACTTGAGCATTTATAAGTGAGAGAACCCATACACCTATTACCTTAAGGTTTTGGGTGAGTATGTGGTGTGTCTCTCACAACGGTTGCTCTAGAAGAAAGTCCCACTATGTTCAATGCTCCCTAGTTGAAAGTCCAACAGTGGTATCATGAACCTTTGGTTCGAATAAAGGGAACGACTTACTTGTATCGAAAGTATCCCCATAGGTCGTGGGTTGAGTGTCTCGTTGAAGAATGTCAACGGCGGTACAAGGGTGCAGTTGCACACTTAAAAAAAGTTTTTGTATCGAAAGTATCCCCATAGGTCGTGGGTTGAGTGTCTCGTTGAAGAATGTCAACGGCGGTACAAGGGTGCAGTTGCACACTTAAAAAAAGTTTTCGCTTAAGGGAGAGCATTGGGATAGACTCACACTTGAGGGAGAGTGTTAAGTATTAACAAGTGTGAGTAGGGTGGATAATAGTCCCACATTGGATAGAAATGTGGTGACTTGAGCATTTATAAGTGAGAGAACCCATACACCTATTACCTTAAGGTTTTGGGTGAGTATGTGATGTGTCTCTCACAACGGTTGCTCTAGAAGAAAGTCCCACTATGTTCAATGCTCCCTAGTTGAAAGTCCAACAATCTTAAAATTATTTATCTTAATTTATTGTATTTACGGATGGAAATGGGTATCAGTGGGCACATGTGTTGTGTACAAGTGTGAGTTGAAAATTCCACATTGCTTAAAAAATTGGAGGTTGAGCATTTTATAAGTGAGAAGATTCACACACTTATCACCTTAAAGTTTTGGGTGAACATGTGGTGTCTCTGTCACTTGTGTGTTGCTCTTGGCCCAATGTGAATGCTCCTCATGATGATCCAACAGTGGTATCGGAGCCGGTGGTTCATATAAAGAACCAACTCCTTGTATCGAAAGTCTTTCCGACAATGTGGTGGTTAGGCCACATGTTTTATTGTAGTGACCGCAACGGCAATACAAATGTATGTGGATGAAAGAGCTTCCACTTAAGGGGAGTATAATGGATGAACACACACTTAAGGGAAATAATTTTGTGTATAAGTGTGAGTTAGAAGTCCCACATTGCTTAGAAAATTGAAGGTTGAACACTTTATAAGTGAAATGACTCATACACCTATCACCTTAAAGTTTTATGTGAATATGTGGTCTCTCTCTCACTTGTGTGTTGCTTTTAATCCAATGTGGATGCTCCTTATAATGACCCAAAAACATGTAATATTTCCCGGCTACATGTCTCATTTATTTTAATCCAATGTGGATGCTCCTTATAATGACCCAAAAACATGTAATATTTCCCAGCTACATGTCTCATTTAATAAATATGATACTTGTATCCAGCTCCTTATAATGACCCAAAAACATGTAATATTTCCCAGCTACATGTCTCATTTAATAAATATGATACTTGTATCCACGAATTTTAAGATACATTGTGGTATTTACGGATACCCATGAATACTTTTTTCTTAAAATTTTAACTTATCAAATTTTTTTATATAATGTAAATATACATGAGTCCATGAAAATAAAAAGTTCGTATCATATATAATTTTTTTTTTTAATTATTGACGAATATGGATATTCGTACGTACGGATACCATTAAATTCATATTTATGTCCGTAAAAAAATTAATTATTAAATATATATTTATTTTATCCGTAAATATCCATTAAATCATCCAACGTGTGTTCGTGAGAAACATCCTTAATTGTTTTCGTCATATACATATAAAACAACAATACTACACAAAAATTTATCTACCTTTAAAAAAATAAGAGAGAGCTCGACAAAAAAAAACACGATAGAATTCAAATCCAAAATTTTCCCATTAAATATACTCGCCAACAAAAATATCCTAAGTTGGTTTTTAAATGTGTATGAGGGGTAAAAATCTTATAAAAAATTGAGAAAAAAATAAAATCTTAATGATTAAAACTTTTAAATAAATAAATCTGCCTCCAAAAAAAACAACTTTATTTTGGAATTTTTGAATTTTTTTTGTTGGCTCCTAATAATTAAAGACTTTAATTTGAAATTGCACATTCATTGCGCTTAGAGCAATTTGAAGTTTGAAGCGATCCAAGAAAATGGAGAATGAGTACAATGAAGCAACCGAAGTTCTTGTGAAACTATTCAGAAACGCAAATCAAGAACTTGAAATACTTCACAAGCGTCTCCAAAAAGAGTTTCATCACCTTTACCCTGACAACGTAAGTTTCAACCCTAATCACATCTTCATCCATTTTTTGTTTGTGCTTATAACTGAATTAGGGTTTTCTGCAGGCAAATCCTATGAAGCTTGCGTCTAGGATCAAAAAGGTACTGGAAGATGTTTCATCTTTAAAGGAAGAATGCCCCAAGCTTCTTGCTGCTAAGCAGGTGATTATTTCTGTAGAATTGGATTTGAATTGGATTTTGATTTAGAATATCTCATCGAATGTTTGATGTATGGCGTATGTTTATGTTCAATCGCTTTCATTTTCTCAAATTATTACCAGTGATAGTGTCTGTGTCATGTCAGTATCATGTTTGGTGGCTGTGGGAAATAGCTACGGAGTGTTTATATGAATTTTAGTGGGGGTATTGTAAACATATGCATGTGAGATGGGAGGTTTTGAAGTAGTGTTTGGTTGTTGATTTGTGCAGGATTTGATTGATAAAGCTCAGAGAGGTCTGGTTGAGAGTAGAAATTTATTGAAGCGTATGCAATCATCGGTTGGCATCCCCTTTACCGGTGAAGACGAGGAAGCATTTGCTAACTTCAAACAGGTTATTGCGCGTGTGTGTTTGTGTGGCTGTGTTTGTTTTTTATTTTTCAGAGGTTAGTGCTTCAATGTCTTTAAACATTGAAGGATAATTTCCTATAACTGAAGTGTGTTCTTTCTTGGTGTGTTTTTTGTGGCATTGCAGTGCCTTTGCTCATAGATGTAGGCATTGCAGTGCCTTTGTTCTTTCTTGGTAGTTTGTGCTAGATTTTTGATTTCACAGAAGAAGAAAAAATTTAACATTCAAACTCAAAACCTTCTCTATTATGGAGAATAGCAAAGTGAAGAGTGACGGTAATTTAATTATGAATCTTTTTCTATTCTCAATGGTTGCCATTTTCCAAGTGTTGTTTCAAGTCTTTTTACACCGCTTGCCAGCTTGCAACCAATATAATTCAAATATGGGGCTTTGGTTACAAGTATTTACCACAAGCATGTCCTTGGGTACCTTTCATATTGCTTTTCCTAGATAGAAAAGGGACCCGTTGACAATCCAACATTCGATGAAATATAAGCTTATAATATGTTTATAACTAGGAGACATTCCTCACTTTAGAAGCCGGTACGTAGGTTTGAGTTAAACCAAACTTAAATTTTAAGATAATAGCAGAGCCTATCTAAGAATAGATCCGTTAGACAACCCACTATCCAACTACTCGGGTCACGCTTAAGATTATTGTCCTTAGCATTCGGGGATGTGTTGTGAGTTCCTCATTGGGTGATATAAGACCTAAAAATATGTTTATAAGTAGGGAAGTATCCCTCATCATACAAACCGCCGGTTTTGTAGGGTTGAGTTAAATCCAACCAAATTTTAAGAGATCCTATTGGTTTTTCGTTGGCAGAAAGTGGGAAGAGAGAGGTAGAATACAGAGGATGCATTATAACATTATCAACTAAATGAATGGCTCAAAGTGGAAAAGAATATATTCTTTTTTATAATCTCATAACTCTGTTATACCAAGCTTCTGTAAAGGGATTTTCATCCAAAATTTTGAATCTTTCACTTTTTACATTGTCAACTAAGTAATTGTAACGGCTTTGACACAATTTTAACTGATTGTGCAGGTGATTGATGAATGGACAGATCAAACAAGATCAAAAATAGGTGAGCAGTTTCAAGGACTTGTTACTCTGCCAAATATGCAGTACATTTGACAACCATACTAGCATTTAAATCATCATTTTTGGATTAGCAAAAAATTTCTGGCTACTGTTGTGAAGAGCACGATGACAGAATATGATGATAATAGAAAATGTTGTCAAATAGGGCTATAGCTCTGGAGCATAATAGAATTTGAGCAAATCACTTTTTTTCCATAATACATTATTTGATACAAATTGTTGTCAAATATTTTCTGCTATCCCGGATTAAGAACACTGGTACACTATTAGATTAAAGCTAGCTACTAGGCAATGATGCTAACCATGCTGTCTTAGTCATTTCCCACCATGGTGTCTGTCTCTCATCATTTCTCCTTCTATAGCTGCTGCATTTGTATGGAAAGGAGGGGCTTTCTTAGAATGAGGATTAAGAAGCAACTTGCGACCATTCTAATTTATCGAAATATGATCTTAAATAATTACCCTATATAGCATTTCTAGATTTCAGAAAACAACTAACTGTCTCTGAATGTGTTTTGATGCAGGAAACGAACCGTGTGATTCAGATTCTGGTGATCTCAACAGACTACTCTTTTCCGCCATAGTTCAAAGTGATTGAACTACTATACCAGACAACCAAAAAATCATGTATGTTGTCATTTAAGTCCAGTTCCTCAGGTCAACATATAGATAATGTGCACTTTTAATTCAATACAACAACAACAAGAAGTCCCATCCCACTAGGTGGAGTCGGCTACATAGATCAACTTTTGCCATAATGTTTTGTCAAGGATTATGTTTCTATCCAAATCATTAATTTTGAGATCTTTCTTAATAACTTCTCTTATAGTCTTTCTAAGTCTTCCTCTTCCTCGAATTATTTGCCTTCTCTCTATTTGATCTACTCTCCTCACTACATAATCTACCGATCTTCTATCTACATGTCAAAACCACTTAAGTCTATTTCCATCATCTTCTAATGCAATACACTTTTAATGTAGTACAAATAGAACTTTTCTGCCTATTTGTTATTCTTCTTATAAGATGCAGTGAGTGTCTGTCTGGATAGCGCTGGAAAACAAACAAACGCGCAATACTATTGAGGCTACACATTGTAGCTTTCAAGGTGAAAAACAATTGAACGTGGTTTCTACGGTTTCACACATGCTAGTAGCTGTTTTGGGTTCTCTAACTTTCTGCTTCTTTTGCGAAATGACTAGCAGAAAACAAAATTGATTTTACTTTAAGTGTAAGGAAATGAAATTGTGTACAAAATAAACAACATGGTATAAACAAAAATAGCTACAACCAGTGTGGTGAGCAAGATGGAACATCCACAATCTGTGTAAGAACTAGATATCAGTGCTAATTGGTTTATCCTTGGCTGCACATTTGCATTGAAAGAAAATATGCTTTTTGAAATTTTTTAACGCTGCTACATGTTACATTTTATGAAGTAATGACACAAGTACAAGTAAAATATATGTTAGCGTTGTTCTACTTTCGAAGTTAGTTTGATTAACGAACTTTTGATAACTGATTATTATTTTAATATGTATAAGAGAGAAACTTATCTCACCACTTAAATAACTGAGCGTAGAAATCTGAAGGGTAAACAATGCAAATTTTATTATAAAAATTTGAAAAATGTTCATTTGATTTCGAAAATACATATTTGGACACACTCTGAGTGTCACTCAAACACGCCTCAGTTGAGTCTCATTTTATATATTTTTTTAAAAACATCTTCGGACTTACACTATCAATTTATTTCTAATTTAACAATTCAATGACTTTTTTGAAAGTTCATTTTTGGATTTGTGAACCAGGAATTTAAAAATCAGTCACATTTGTGTGTCAGTCAATTTTAGAAGTGTATTTTCAGAACAATCAAACGTCATATTTAATAAAATAGAACCTTGCATGATTAAACACCATAACCATTTTTCTCAAAACCCTTACAAAAAATCATTTCATTCTCAATCAAGATTTGCACTCAAAAACTCCAGTCTTGGGTTTCATCACATCAAAAGGATAAAAAAAAGTTGAAATTCAAGGTAAAAATAATTTATTTCATTTCTCAGCGCTCACATTAATCTTGTTTGTAGCTAAAGAAGTAACATTGTATTTGAAAATGCATTTCTAAGTTCTATATGAATTCCTATACATGTGCATTTTTGTAATCATTATGTGTTCATTTCAATATGTTTTTTAATATTTATGTATTGTTTGTATTAGATTTTGTGCACCCTGATGTTTTTCCCAAACATATTGTGTCTACGAATGCCAAACGTGTTGATGCGAAGGAGGTAAATGTTGACAACCAATTTACAAATGGACAATACTTTGAGTTTCGTGATCATGTCCTCCATTTTGGTGTCGTAATTGGAAGGTTCGATAATGGTTCTGATAGAAGAGTTACATTTGTGACAATGATATGCGAAAGAAGTGAGAAATATATAACTCTTCTTCAGAAATTCAAACGAGATGACATCAGTTCGAAAAAATGTGAGTATGCCTTTAGGTTGTGTGGTTATCTTTTATCAAATAATAATGGAGATTTAATGTGATTTGTGGTTTACATAACCATGACATGTGTGAAAAGTTAGTTGGACATTCAATTGCATGTCGCCTTATGCCGGAAGAAAAGAAAATTGTTTTGGACATGACTTTGAATATGATGCAGCCCAAAAATATACTCGCGACTTTGAAATGTAAAAGATTCAAAAATATCTTAAATATCAAGTAAGTGTACAATATTTATGTCCTTAACAATGAGGCATTAAAGGGAGATAGAATTGAAATGCAACAACTGTTAAATTTTTTGGATGATAACAATTATGTATATAGGTGTCGAGTGTGTGAGGATGAAGTAATCGTTTGATATATATTTTGGATCATCCTGATTCTATAAAGTTGTTCAACATGTGTTCTACTGTGCTAATCATTGATTCAACATATAAGACAAACAAGTACATGTTTCCATTACTGGAAATTGTTGGTGTTACCTCTACCGATAAGACTTATTTTATTGGGTTCGCGTTTTTGGAGAGCGAAAAAGAGAAAAATGTTACTTGGACTTCAAAAGTGTATCCTATAATGTTGAAGGACAAAGAAGACATGTCGAGAGTCATTGTCACCGACTACGATATCACATTGATGAATTCAGTTGAAAAGGTATTTGTAGGTATCACATTGCTTTGTAAGTATTAATAGAGTTTTGGAAGAGAAGCATATTCAAGGAGAAATGATTTGTATTGATTAATTTTGTACTGAATTGATACAATGAGTATGCTATATATAGACAGCTAGCATAACAGAAATAATACAACTCGACATAACTGACTCTAATAGTTAGTTATGACTGATAACTGATTTTAGTCTAAATGCTGCCAGGTCACCATTACTTAAACTATTCTAATTTATTGCTTATACTCTAATATTTCCCCTTCAAATGCTACTACTCTGAGAGAGAGTCATTTGCATCATTGAAGAGATGATTTGTCCACAACCTTCAAATGATCTTTGAGAGTGAGAAATCTGAGAGTTGAGAGAGGTTTATTCATAATGTCTGTTGTTTGTGAAACAGTTGCAATGTGCTTGACTACCAATGTGTGGTTAAGAACCTTTTCCCTTAGGAAGAAAATATCCAATTCCATATGCTTAGTTTTGGCATGCAGGATAGGATTATGTGAGAGAGCAACAATGCTTAAGTTGTCACAAAGCAGAAGAAGAGTTTGAGAGGGTGTCTGAAGTTCTGCTAGCAAATACTTAATCCATAGAACCTCTACAGCAGTGCTGGCTAAACTTCTGTATTCTGCTTCAGTGCTGGATCTGACTACTAGAGTTTGTTTCTTAGACCACCATGAGACCAAATTAGAACCAATAAAGATGTAAGACCCTGATGTAGATTTCATATCATTAGGGTCAGAGCCCCAATCAACATCAGAATAGGTTGTGATGGAAACAGAAGGAGAGGAAGTACAAGGTGACATGTGCAGACCATGATGAAGTGTGCCTCTGAGATACCTGAGTATTCTCTTTACTGCCACCCAGTGGCTTTGCATTGGTTGAGACAAAAACCTGACAGGCTTTGTTGACAACAAAGCTGATTTTTGGCCTGGTAATTGTTGCATATTGTAAAGCCCCTACTACAAATCTGTAGTAAGTAGGGTCTTGGAGGTAATCTGACCCTTCTTTAGTCAGTTTAAGATTTGAAACCATAGGGGCGGGCAAGCTCTTTGCTTCACTCATGTTAGTCTTAACTAAGAGATCTCTCACATATTTTGTTTGAGAGAGGAAAATACCACCTTGAGGTGTTTTGGAGACTTCAATGCCTAGAAAGTAGCTCAAGTCACCAAGCTGTTTAAGGGAAAACTGATTATGAAGTTGGTTACTAGGCTTTGAATCTGAGTAGGAGAGCTTCCAGTGACAATGATGTCATCTACATACACTAGCATAAAAATAGTGTAGGTAGAGGTAGATAGAATGAATAGGGAGGGGTCACATTTACTGGTCACAAACCCAAGTGAATGGAGAGCACTTGTAAGTCTTTCAAACCATGCTCTAGGTGCCTATTTAAAACCATATATGGCTTTGTTTAGTTTGCAAACAGAAGTTGAATCAGTGTGTACAAAACCAGGAGGTTGTTGCATATAGACTTCCTCAGTGAGAATGCCATTTAAGAAGGCATTGTTCACATCTAGTTGAGTAATTGGCCGCTGCCTAGTGAGGGCTATAGAGAGCACCACCCTGACTGTGATAGGTTTGACCACAGGGGAGAAGGTTTCTTGAAAATCAAAACCCTGAACTTGATGAAACCCCTTAGCAACTAGTTTGACTTTATACTTAAGGACAAATCCATCAGGATTTTGTTTGATCTTGAAGACCCATTTGCATCCTATTGCCTTTCTGCCAGGAGGAATATTAGTGAGAGTCCATGTTTGATTATGTAACATGGTATTGTACTCAACAGTCATTGCCTCTAACCATTTTGGATCTTTGAGAGCCATTTTATAGGAAGTAGGTCCTAGTTCAGTTAAGAGAAGAGTAAGGTGAATCCTTGGCTGGACAATACCAGCCTTGGATCTAGTAACCATAGAATGAGTGTTTTGAGGGAAAATTGGATGAACTGGTAGATGTTCTGAGCTAAAGGATGATGAGGGACTTGTTGATGAAGAGCCAAGAAGGGTTTTGGACATTGAGGTTTGAGGAGATACTTGTGAAACAGGTGAGTGTGACACAGATGTGGAAGTGTTGATAGGTATTGCAGTTAGAGGAATAGGTTGAGGAAAATTTGAAAGAGGTGATTGGGTAAATGAGATAGGTTTAGAGAAGAAAAGAGGAACTGAGGCAGAGGAAGTAGATAAATGAGGGGTTGAGGTTACAACTTTGGGCAGTGTATTCATGTATGGAAACCTAGATTCATTAAACACAACATCCTTAGATATATACACCCTTCCATCAGAAGCCATGCATTTGTAACCTTTGTGATGTGAAGAATATCCAAGGAATACACATTCCTTGGTATGGAAGTCAAATATGTGAGGATTGTATGGTCTGAGATAAGGAAAACAAGCACATCCAAATGCTCTAAGCATCTTATAATCAGGTGCAGCA